TTACCTGCGATATCCAAAACTTTAGAAACGGGAACAAAATCGTTATAAAATGTTTGGACAAATTGCGTTCCATGGCCTTGCTTTTGAAACGGAGGAAGGATAAGCACTTGACTAATACGCGGCCGAATACTTTCAGGGTAGGCATAAAATTTATACACCGTCATAAATCCAACAAAAGCAAAACAGGGCACGTCCATTTCGGAAAAATATGATTCATATCTACATAATGATATAATTTGAATACATACAGTGTGTAATAGCACCATTGAGAATCATCCGAATCAATGAATGAGGCACCATCAACGAAGAAGGGCAAGAAAGACTGCATCCGTTTGTGAAGAACTTTAAATTCTTCAAAGTCTTCCATCCCAGGCTCTATATAATATATGGAAAAAGACTTAGACCCTAAAATATAGGAACAAATCAGAGCAAACCATTATCCGAGGTATACTTATTTCTAACGGTACCAAAGGGCTTGAAATGAATTTCTTGAATAACTTTTGATTCAAAATCGGCTCTAGTCTTGATTAATTCAAATTCATAAGATTTTGTGAGCGATTCTAAAATATCATGAGGCTAAAAATACCCAAAGCCTAGCTCACACCTCAGTACCCTTGGCAAGTTTGGTACTGATTTTGGAAGCATATTCAGTATCAACAAATGTTTCCAGGCTTCCAGCTAGACATAATATATTTACAGAGAGATTCTTGTATCCAAATATGATTTCCCTTAAGTGTTATATAAAACAGAATATACTTTGGACCGAATATTTGATGTGTCATTTCTGGTTTGAAGCTGTCAGCCAAAGTCACATCAAAAACAGTCCTAACTAAGCCATGAAAATAAATTGTCATACTCAGCTTGAAGGTGATCGCTTCGCATGCATTTGCCTTATATTCAAGGACGTTAGCTAGTAAATCTTGCATGGCGAAACCACTCACGGAGGTGGGATAGGGAGAAGGGCAGCGCCACAATTAGACCGATACAAATTGAGTACCATAAACACAGCTGTATCAATTTATGCCAAAATTTAAATTAAACTTTTTAAAGATAATACAATTTAATTTGCATTTATATAAATTTGCTTTAATGGTTCTTATTACTCAGTAGCATGCCCGCTCAGATCATTTTCCGTAGGTGTTCGCATTGCTATTACCAAACATGAACAATGATTCTACTATTTACCTCGATTTTTTATGTGGTAATACAGGTGATGATTGGGCGTTCTGGGTATTTTGAGGTTCTTTTTATGCTTTGCAGTCACGATTAATAACTTGGGAGACAGATACCCCAGACTTCACTCGATGTTTTCAAAAGACTGTCTTAGAGTGGCTCCCCTTTCTATATCTTTGCATTTCTGCTTTTTCTTACCTATCGTTATTTAAGAAGACAAATATTTTCCAAAGGAAATTTAGTTGGCTATATCTTATAAAACAGGTACACAATTTAATTTTTCGAGGTTTAAGCTACTAATTGTATATTTGATTGTCCTCTCGTTGTTAGATCTCGCAAGTGTAATACATGACAAAATCAAAGGCTTAGATGTAAAGACAATATCTCTTATCACTCCTTGTATGCTGTTAGTACAATGGGTAATTACATGAACTTGGCCTTTTATCGTTCATTCAGTCCCTTGTAATGCTTCTAACACGTATCGAGTTCAAAAATTATATATTTTCTTCCGGAGTTGTAACTTTTTTTTGGCTCTTTCAACTTCTAGTTGCTACTATTTTTAGTAGATCCGAAATAATTCATTACCGGTGCGACGTAAGCCTTTTAAAACATTTGTCATTTGATTTGAACTATTTTATTTCCGGAGACCTAAGTAAATTTTCTTTGTCTGCCAAATATGCATCTTTTTAATTTTAGGAAGATACAAGTGTGCTGATTCTCTGCATTACCTGTCTGCGACTCGGGTTTACATTTTTTCTCTTCATCACTCACTGTTTTGCTGACTACAAAAACCTTTCTTTTAATGACGAAGCGACATCTTTATTACGTGTGAGAAGTTTTAAGGTTAGTTTTACAAATGTCTTTTAACCCCATT